CGATTTAATGATGATAAATTGCTCAAACCTCTCAAGTTATTGGCATTGTACACATTTTTTTAGTTTTCAAAACCTCTTTCCTGACATTTACCCTAGCTGGACTTTGGAACGATTTTCATGTTCAAATGTCAATACGTGTTATTTTCGAATATTGTCTAAAAACAGAGACTTGTATGTGTTACTGAAAAAGTAAAAGTGGGTGCAAAAATCATGCCGAAGTCTACCCAGTGTAGACGCATGGTTGCAACTTTCTAATCGCAGAAAGGAAGAAAATGCTTCTTTCAATTTTATTTACTTCGTCAGCTGATTTCTTACGGCACAACTAATTCAACTTTTACGTTTGTTGTATAAAGTCCATGCAAGGATATATTACTATAAGCGCGATTAGCGAACTTTATTTTCAATTAATTTTTTATTATGACATATTTTTTAAATATGAATTTCATATATCATTTTTAATAGTTTTTTCAATATTTATTACTAACATTTTTTTTTTTTTAACTATGTTAAATATAATTTTTATTAATTGAGTTTGATTTTATTAATTACACTTAATTTTATTTTTGATTGTAAATATTTTTTGACGTTTTCTATTTTGTTTTGTTTTTTATTTGCTATTCAGTAACCATATTAAATGTGAACACTTACTTTTAGATATGTAATTAATACTAATTGAGAACAGCTAATTGTGAAGTGTTATTATTTTTCTAAAAAGGAATTTGCAAAAAATACAAATTAAGACATTTTGTAATTTTGTGTTTTGCTTTATTGTGGTAGTTTTGAAACAAGTCGTGGACCGTACAAATATTATCCGCGGGCCGCATAGGACTGTGGGTCGTGCTTTGGACAGCTCTGCTGTAAGGTATCATCACAGCTCAACGTAATCTGTCATTAAACCAATTTATAACTATTAAAAGACAGAGTTGCAGAGTTTTGTATTGAACATATTCGGTGGATAATTCAGCAAATTGATTGGTTTCTATCAGATATAATTTTTTTAAATCAACCATTAGTTACGTCTGAAATAAAGTTAAGCAGAACAAAAATAAAATTCTGCTTTCTGCTCATTATAATAAATCGAAATTATTAGTTTTTTTATATATTCATTTTGAATTATTATAATAATAATTCAGTTTACTATGATAACTCAATATCAGATTAAATGTATTATGATTAAATTTAGTATCTGACAAATTGAACAAATTGTTATTGTTTTGTTTGATTTGTACTTGTAACTGTTTTCTATGTCTGGCTTAATTAATTTAATTAATAATAACGATGAGTTTTTACATATTTATCTACACTTAAATGTAGTATTTAGTATATGGTATATAATATGAATGTATATATACTATGAATATAGAATATGAAAAGCACTATTTTAACTGCAATAAATATTATTCTTGTAGTAAACTATTTAATTATTAGTGTCTTTATTATCATGGTATGAATGATATAGGTATATGTGGACTTATAATTAGAAAACATAAATAACTTTTTATTAATGCTCACTTGAAATCAACAATTTATTTAAGCGGTAAAAGTGTTGTGTTGGTTTACAAAGACGTATCTTTTCTAACCTCAACTATTTTAACATCTCACAACTGTTATAATAAACTGAAATATTTAAGTTTTATTATTGTTTGCTATTAGTTCGTAAATGTTTGTTTTCACACAAAATGTCAATGGCCGATGATTTTTTTTATTTTTAACATGATGTAAATATACTTAATTATATGTGCATTTCAAGCGCAAAGATTAACGATGAATGTGAAGTGCATGCATCACTTTAAGATTGTTTATATTTATTTTAGCGAAAGTCGCAAGTGCAAATTTTAATTACCGAACCTTCAAAATTGCTTTATTTAATTAAAATAGAAAAGTTAATTTAAATTAATGTGCAATTATTGAAAAAGAAAGGACGGTAAAATATACTTATGAATGGCTAATGAAAAACGTCAACAAACAATGCTATACCCATAATTATCATAAGTGCATTATTAAAATAAAAAAAATCAAAAAATCATAAAGAACTATATTACTTATTGCGTATATAATATATCTTAAAAATGTAAACTTGTAAGGGTTTTCCAATATTTTCCCAATATTGCATTTAAATTCTCTTTAGAATCAGGAATGTACTAATTATCTATGCTCTATTATGCAACTCTGAACTTTTTAAAAGCACTGGAAGTTACCTCTTTTCAATAAATTTAGTACAGAGCAAAGAAGATAAAGAAAAGAAACTGAGAGGAAATTTTGAATAATGGTGCCTCTTTGTGTAATATCGCAAAGAAAATCTCTTTTACTTATTTACCATACCAGAATTGTCAAATATTAAAAACGGTGTGGCTTATAACTTAAATATTTACTACATTTGTGGTTGCATATTAGCATGTAGCCATTTCTTCTAATTAGAAGAAATAGTATAAATTATTGTTCTTGGAAAATCCATTGTATATATTAATACGATTATAATGAGTAAATATAGGCATGATTTTTTATATCAGTTTTACTTCAATTTACATAAAAGTTTTAAATGCGCTATATAAATCAAATATAAATGAAGAATTGGTGAACTAAAATCAATAGTAAATATAAAGTAGCTATTATTGATATATGTAAATATGTATATATAATTAGTCATGAAATTGTTTTAATAAAGTTAAAAAAATTGTATCGTATTTATTAAAATAAAAGTTCTTTAATCATGTTGCACATATACGTACTATATTTATATATATGCTGAGCATCTAATAGAAAAGTTAGTATGTGTTCATACATTTCGAGTATTAGGTTGCATTGTTTTAATAGTTTGTTTTAAAAAGATTAATATTAATATAATTTTTTAAAATTCAAATAAGTTTGGTGTATTGTAATACAATTTTTGCTTGTGCATCAAATTTTTTCAATATAGAAAATCGGAAAAATGTATATACTGTTTACTACTACATATTTTTTGTAGTTTTAAGCAATCCTTTCAGTAAGGTGAAATGTTTTTTGTATATGAAATTCAAGAAATTCTTAACTAGTTAATAACAACATTATAAACAATAAGGATCAATTTCTTCGCATAGTGTTAGAAGAAATATTAAATATATAAGCATTTTCCGCACCACCTAATATGGCGTTTACATTGGCCGAAAATGGCTCATTTTGAATGAGCCATTTGAAAGTGTTTACATTCGTTCTATTTCATTTGTTCTCATTTCAACAGCTTATTTTTAAACTTGCATGTTGATTTGATTTTTGGCCTGTGCCAAAAAAATGTTGCATGAAGGTTAAATATGCCTTCAAACCTTACATTAGAAAACTTAAAACAATTTTTAAACTTCGATTAGTTACTTTTTTTGGGAAGTAAAAGTTCTAAGAAAGCATGTGCATCGTTTCAAAGAAAATGCCAACCAACCAATAATTGTTTACCTTTTTTTGTAATATATTAAACAGCTTTTTCAAACGTCAACTGCCATGAAAGAGCTGTTCATTTAGGTATGTCCAATGGATTCCTTTGCATTTGGAACGTATGTGGAATGCATTCGAACGTCATTCATACAGAATGTGAGAAAATTGCTCATTTTTGTACTTGAAATTTTATATGCAAGAATGAGCCATTCGATACTCATTTTCGATTTTTGACTAAAATGAGCCATTTTCGGCCAATGTAAACGCCGTATAAGAGGTATGCTTGCTGGCGTGTTACCGAGTTTTAGGTGTTCAGTTTCCTAATAGGCCTATCCACCAAAATATTTTATTTAACAAATATACAATTTTATGTAAATACAATTTAGAATAACTTAATATATACAAAATAATATTACTATTTTAAAAATATTTAATATTAAACCAAAAATAATAAGGAACTATTAAATTAAAGATAAATTATAAATAAATTTAATAAATTATAAAATTAAAACTAAAATATTTTTTGTTTAAGCAAAAAATCACTTAAAGAGTATGAACACTTTTGTGCTGTTTATAAGTGTTGAAAGCATAATTGTTTATATTTAAAATTCGACACTTTATTATCTCGATTGAAATATTTTAAAATGAAGTAAATTCTTACTTTAATGACAAAAGATAGAAGAGTTTCAATTTTGCAATTAGAGCAACATATATAGGGATGAACGTTTTCTAATTTATTAAATAAATGTTGCGCTAAACCTAATTTATAGCAATTGTTATCGAACTGATCCGAAAATTGTGATTCTAATTTTTCAATATATGTATATATAATAACAACACTCAATCAAAGTATAATTAATAATATTAATTTCTCTTCAGGATTTTTCCTTTTTTATAATTATTAGTATATCATGGAAAAAATAAAAAATAAAAGCACAACTTAATTCGTGATTTATTATATACACTAATTAGGCACACATCTAAGTTTCTAATGTGTTAATACATTTATATATTTACTTTATTCTACAACAATAAATTGCGTTATTTTTAATTAATAATATACCTTCGATAATCGTTTGGAAAAATATAGAGATGTTTGAAATTTAAACATCCAAGTACGCACTTCCGTTTTAATTGTAAATAAATTTTAATTAACTAATAATTCATATATTTTTCTGGAATAATTACCTTTTTTTAATGCTTTTATAAGTGAAAACAAATTCCGCCTTATTTTTCTTTTAGTAATGTGGTATTTGTGCACTTAATTGCAACTTTGGCGCATTTTCTCGTAACGGATTTTTAATGTCAAAAAACCAAAACAAACAACGAAATTTCTCAGAAACCTCTCTTACTTTAGCAAATATCGTGGTGAGTAGGGACCGAGTGGGCAAAGTATCAGGGTCTGGGTGGGGAAAATATTCACGCGCCATTATGTAGCATTAGGCTTTTTGTTATTGTACTGCGTAATATTTTCACCTCATTACACAAAATTTTTGAATATTTTTTGAATAATCCAGAAAAATTTATACACAATTTTTCGAGTAACTATCAGTTTCTTTTCTTTATCTTCTTTGGTACAGAGTATTAAAAAAGTTTTATCCCATTTTGTGTCACAGCGTAGGCGGTGTATATTGAAAAAATTTTGAAATCATTTGATATTTTTTTCTTTATATTTACACGCCTTGTAATTCTGAGTTAAAGACTAGTTTGTGGATATATATTGAGTGAGTTTTAATCATACTCTAGTTTTGTTAAAAACTTTTAATCGAAAAAAGATTTTTGTAGCTCATAAACATGGAAGGAAATACTGAAAATGTATGTACCATTTGTGGCACAAAAGTAGACATAACCGACTGTGAACATTATATATGTAAAGAGTGTGTCCTTAAATGGTTTGAGATTAGTTCAGAAGATTGTGTTATATGCACCATTATGAAGTTTGGTCTTCCAACCAATGAACAGCCTCAATCTGCAGCAGACAAGGCAGATAAAAGGAAGCAGTTTCATAAATCGAAACAAGTTGAAGAATTTGGTGTTCCAACCAATGAACAGCCTCAATCTGCAGCAGACAAGGCAGATAAAAGGAAGCACCTTCATAAATCGAAAAAAGTTGAAGAACTTGGTGTTCCAACCGATGAACAGCCTCAATCTGCAGCAGACAAGGCAAATAAAAGGAAGCACTTACATAAATCGAAGAAAGTTGAAGAATTTGGTGTTTCAAACAATAAACAGTCTCAATCTGTAGCAGACAAGGCAGATCAAAGGAAGCACTTACACAAGTCGAAGAAAGTTGAAGCCAATCAAATTCAACAACCACCAAATCCTATTTCTCACTCTCGTCAAAATTTCATCGATCGTAGCAAAGGCCAAAAAAATGCTATTTCCAAACAACATGAAGGTAACAATGGCAACAAAAACAAGAAATCTGAACAGAAACAATTGGGTCGAAAAAGATTTCCTAGACCATCGTATGTCAATCGTAACGCTGCAAGATTGGAGCCCAGAGCCCAGGCTAATCAAGTAGATGGATTTTGGGGCATTGTTCAGAATGTATTTGAGGTGCTAAATGTAATACACACCTTATTTCTAGTAGGTTTAATAATATATTGGTGTTATTATTTTTTTTAAACCATATTAAAAAGATGATAAACTATATTAAAAAAACCGTTCAAGTAAAATCACATTTGTAATAAAAAAAAATTTTTTTTTTTTGATTTAATTTTGTAACATTCTTTTTAGACTTATGTTTTATATATTGAATCTATTTTTAAATCTTGTAAGTATGTACTTTTAATCGACATTGTCATATATTAGCGCTCCCACATACTGGTGTGATATATTTACTACAGCTAATGAAATATTTACTTTCCTTTTAATGGAGTTGGAAGCAGTAAGGACTTATTTACTGCGAATATATCACAGAACGAAAAAAATAAAGTATATAATATTTGCACATTAATATTATCTTTTTTTTACTTTTAATAATAAAAATATCCATGCACTGCAGTGTAATTATGATGACGTCTTAAATGTATTCCGGCACACATTATTTTTGTTATAATAGAGAGAAAACTAACACTGCTGTGCAGTGCAAACATAATGACGTCATATAATAAAAACACACCGGCACATATATTTTTTTATAATAGAAAGTTATTTAATTTCTATTATATTATATATTATATTATATGATATTTTATGTTTTATTATATATTATATTTATTCCTCGACTTGGTTTTTTAAATTGTATTTTTTATATATTTTAGATCTGGCTACAGGTCACTTTTTTTGAATTAAACGTTTGTTTAATATTTTTTAATATATATTATATTTTGACTCTCCTTGACAGTCATCATCAGGTAAAGAAGTCTAAAAAGATAATTATAAATATTTTAATAAAATTTTAATGATTAATTACTTGATTTTAAACCAATTAATTCACATATTACTATTATGATGAGAACTGATACTTATTGCTGCTCATTTACCATGTTAATTGCGATAACATATTTTTAAATTACTATGGTATCTGATTTTTAAAAGTTAATTGCATTTATACATATTAACTATGGCTTATACCTTTCTTCTACTATGATATGACAAGTGAATTTGTTGACGGTAACAATCAACAAATTAATAAAACTTGAGTCTGCACTTAAGATTTGGAAAGGATTGAGTTCAACCTTGATGTTGTTGTTGTTGTGATTTGAGTTAGTGCTATTGCGCACTTTTACTCTTTTGTGGCTGGGGGGCTTATCCCTGCCCCACACTAAACGTTTACTATACTAGAATCATTAACATTTATTTATCTACTAACTGATGACGGACCGTAGATTAGCATATCTTCCTGAGCGTCCTGAGGTAGACTTAAGAATTGTTAGAGCGGGGTTGGGCAACGTATCAAAAAAAAAATGATATACAAACAACTAAATAAAAAAAATATTTCCAAGGTAATGAATACTTAGCAGAAAGCAAAATGGGTTTATGATCTGCGAAAAATTATAATTATAGGAACGTATTTGTAGTTGATAACTATTTGCCACTTTTTTCTATTTAAAGAAAAAACATAATCCATCTATACCTATTGTTGATATCCACCTGCTATTGCACTTATATATGTATATACATATACTTTGATCTATATAAATTATGATTTTTATTACGAGTATGTACTCTCCAAAAAATAAAAACCTCATTGTTTTCAATAAAATATTCTCCATTTTATAAATCATAATTATAATTATATTCATTATACAATACTATCTTTCCATTCTACTAATAACTTTTGAAAAGTTATTAGTACATCACTGAAGTAAGAGTATATCATAAGTATATTTGCAGCGCAAGAAATTGGTTTATGCAAACTCATTAGTGGAAACTATGCAAGCGGCAATTCAAACTATAAGCCAACCAAAAGCACAAGCAATGGAAAAAGGATTTCATGTTTTAACAAAGCCAAGATAAAGGATGTAAGACCAAATATCCACGCACTGCTCCATGAATTTTGCAAGTACTTTGCCCTTGTGTGGCATGTGAAAAATTTAAACTTTATTAAACTTGCTGCTGATCATAATGAGGCAAATGACGGCAGAAATCCTTTGCTGTAATTATAAGG